AAATAAACCAATAGCAATACTACAAATTATTTAACTGTAACATCATTCACAGGGTTACAGTAAATTTACATTTATACAAAATCCAGAGCCTCCTGCTTCACTCACAGTGGTCATGGTGGCCAGTACAGTGTGTGTGTATGATGGGTTAATACCAATGAAAGTGAATGCATACTATTGTATGCGTGTACATGGCCTAATCCACAGTCATATGTTTACCACAAAGAAATGTATTTTTTATCGAATAGAGAGTGAAACGGAAAAAAATTGCCACATTACAATTAAAAATGGTAAAAAAAAGTTACACAAAGGTGTTTTCTAATATATTAACATATGTACATTCTTTTCATACAACCTTATGTTCTGTCGTCATGGTAATGACATACAAAAAAAATTAAATCACAATGACAGTCCACTGAGCCTGAAATAATTTTTTTATTCCCTTTATGAATTTGATTCCTGGTGCTTTCGTGAATTGTTAAATTTTCAATTAAAAGGGAAAGAAGAAATGGTTTTGCAATAATAAATGATGTTGCTAACAAACCGTTGCACTTTCAGTTTACTAGAAATTTGCCCAACACTCTGAAAAAAAATGCAGTTTAATGTAAAATGAAAGCATGGAATATAGATATGGGCATATTTACCTAAATATTGCAGCACATAACCATTAACAGTTCTGAGTTTGTCAGGCAAAGCTTTACAAAGGACAAATCAGCCTGTCTCACATTAAAAGTCAGTATGCCTACGGAGGAAAACAAGCAACGGTCAGTAAAAGAGGAGTTCGTGCTGAGAGAGAGCGAGTGAAACAAAAATATGTGAGATTCAGACCTATTAAGAAAGCGAACAAGAGAATTTCTATACAAGTGTAAAGTGTTTAGACGAGGAAGACCAGTCAACAAGTGGAAGCACATTCACTTTAGCGAGACGGTGTCACAGTGTCAACTCAACAACTATTTTGGGTTACAAATGTGCCGTGCTCCAGGAAGAGCAACAGACTAGAACTGCTTATTAACCAACACTGTATATACTGAAAACAACAAACAAGCAAGCGTGTATTTTGCAAAGTACTTTACAATAATGATGAATATGTCATGAAGTTTAAATGTGTCAAACATGTCAAAGATATAAAAAAATATGGCCAGTGAAGTTTTTCACTTAGTCCAAGCTCATACTGTCAAAATGACCTTTGCCACACCACTAAAATTCAGATAAACTGCACAAAACTATACAAATAAGAGCATATTGTTGTTAAAAATGAATAATTCATAAAACATATCTTTCAATAAAAGCAGACTTTAAGTATTTTCTAATGTGTCTTTTGGTCTCCCTCTTTTCATCTCATTCTTTAATTTCGTAAGCTGCTTTTTGTGTGTGCAGTGCTTCAATTGTGGCAAGAACGTAATACTATTTAATGTGGACAACAAAACTTCTACAAACTGGGTACAAAATAAGGCCCGAAAATGAAGTTGGACAGGCCAAATCCAAATTTCAAGTGGGAGACAGGGGCATTTAAAGTGTTCAAACCTAGCTACTTTCACTCTAATCTTATGTTAGATAATAGCTTGTCAAACATCTAACAACAAAAACATGGGATTAGTGCCTCTAATGCTTTAAAAAAAGTAATTGGACAACAAATTGTACCCTATTTGCGAAGTTCCAGAATGTATATATACACACATAATTATATATGCATATATATACATAAATACAAGAAATTGTTAAAATAGCG